GTTGGCTTCAAAGTCCTTCAGATGCAAAGGCAATAGGATTTAGAAGAGTTTTGTTTTCAAATAGAACTAACGCTTTTATGTTTGCAGTATATTTTCATGGGCAGTATGAAGGTTCTGATGGTCTAATAGACAAATTTGACGAAATGAGAATCTTTACAGTTCGTTCAGACGAAAGTCTTGAGAAAACTCTAAATGACTTTCAAACTCAAATAAACAAATACTACTGGGAATTTCAAGAAAAATACGACTCTTTACTAAATGGAACATACTATCTGAAACTAGAATATGACAAGATGAACTCCACAGTTTCATTTCAAAGGATTGAAATTAACCCTCGAAGAAGTACACAGTTTTTATTTTGGGAAGTAGACAAACGTTCTTGGGCGCAATTTCTTCGGTTACTAAACCAGAACGAACCATTACCACCTGACGGTCCGTTTAAATTTATACGCCCACCAACAGATTTGACAGTTTATAAAAACGTGTTTGACCCTCAAAATGTTATATGTCATGCAAGTTTCAGTTCAAGCAACAATAGTTTTCTATGTATTGGTAAGGACTTTTATGACTTTGCTTCTAAATTCTACGAACCACCTAGTAACAGTTTCTCTGACTTTCAAGTTTGGTTTACAACAAACGGTGTGCAGCATATTATACCATTGTACTACGACTTTTATCTCGAATTGTCTTTCATATACAACTACGGAAAAGTGCTGAAAAAGTATTGAAAAATATATTTTGGTTGAAAAAATACGGTGGAGCCAAAAGTGGCTCGACCTCAAAACAAGCATTTTGTGAAGAATATACCAACCCGCGGAAAACAGCGGGTTGCTTTTTATACAAAATTCAACAGGTAAATTTTCATGAATTTCCTTAAGACAGAAAAAAATAAAACTAACTTTATTTTTTTTAAGTTTGGTCATCCTTCACTGTATGACAAATATACTATATTTTACTTAAAAATATGCAAGCGGCTCATAGCTCAGTGGTATGGGCTACCTCGTTACAGGCGTCGAAGACCTCGGTTCAAATCCCGATTCGCGCAAGTTTTTTCCTTTTATGCAGTGAAATTTCATGTACATAGGTTACTTTGGTGTTAGACCCTAGTGAAGAAAATAGAACGATATAAGTTTACATTTGTAAGGTTACTTTGGTGTTAGACCCTAGTGAAGAAAATAGAACGATAGGAGTTTACATTTGTAAAGTTGGACGATAAAAATCTCTGCTACTAGCAGTACTGCTACTGACAGTAAAAGTACTGCTACTGTCAGTAAAAGTACTGCTACTGTCAGTAAAAGTACTGCTACTGTCAGTAAAAGTACTGCTACCGTCAGTAAAAAGGAAAATTTGAGAGGGTTTTCGACGATAAAGTACTGCTACTGTCAGTAAAAGTACTGCTACTGTCAGTAAAAGTACTGCTACTGTCAGAAAAAGTACTGCTACTGTCAGTAAAAGTACTGCTACTGTCAGAAAAAGTACTGCTACTGTCAGTAAAAGTACTGCTACTGTCAGTAGCAGTACTGCTAGTAGCAGAGATTTTTATCGTTGGTGGTCCGACGGTTAAGCCACAAACGAATGTCCGACGGTTAAGCCACAAACGAATGTCCGACGTCCCACCAAAAAATATTTTTTATTTTTATTGTAAGAACTGAAAATGACAGTCGAAGCAAAAACGTTCACGAACAAATCTAATGGCGAAACATTCACAAAAGGCACTTACAACGGTATTGAAGTCTTACGTAGAGACAAGGATGGTTATATAAATGCAACAAATATGTGTCAGCAGTTTAGGAAAGACTTTAGAAAGTTGTTGGAAAATAAGTCCTGGGAAGAGTATTATACGGCATTTTGTGAAGAATATACCAACCGTCGGAATTCCGACGGTTGCTTTTTATACAAAGTTCATGCAGGAATTCCTGATGAAATCAAACAGGTTAGAGGAACGTATGTAGACCCAAGACTCGTAAACTATATAGCAATGTGGGCTTCTCCAAAATATTGTATAGCAGTTGGAAAAATTATGGACTCCATAGACAAGAAAGTTCATGAGAAATTAGATGAAGAAGAACTTGAAGATACAGTAGAGAATGCTAAACCTTTGTTCGAACAAGAAGTTAGAAAAATGCATGAAAAACAAATAGAACATGAACGTGAGATATGTTCTGGTTATAGAGATTCTCCATACGAACTAGACCAATGGGAACAAGAAGATTTAAAGAGAGAATTTAGAGAATATGAACTCGCTAAGATAACATTAGAAGCTGCAGAAAAGAAGTTAAAAGCTTGGGGTCGTTTTGTACAAAAATATTGTGAGTAAATGAACCATTTTTTTCGACAAAAATATATTTTAGGGTAGATGGTTAGATCTAACCTGTCTTCTACCCTCTTTTCTACCCTCTTGAATTTTCATGACTTCTTCGTAAATGTTTTGTCAAGACTTCTTCATAAATGTTTTGTCATGAATTTCATCGTAATGAGTGTAAATGACCCAAAAATATATTTTAGGGTAGATGGTTAGATCTAACCTGTCTTCTACCCTCTTTTCTACCCTCTTGAATTTTCATGATTTCATCGTAAATGTTTTGTCATGAATTTCATCGTAAATGTTTTGTCATGATTTCATCGTAAATGTTTTGTCAAGACTTCTTCGTACATGTTTTCTAACCTCATGAATTTTCCCGAAATAAAAAATAAAGTTAGTTTTTTTAAAAAAATATTTTTTATTTTTATTGTAAGAACATGTTAGCAACAACAGCACCAAACTCGTTAGTCATGAACCCAACTTCAATGTTAGTAGAGATGAAAAGCTTCATTCCTTCTTCATATACTTTCGAAACAGAAATCCAGAAGATAAAGCAAGAACTTCTCCAAGGAGATTTAGATTGCACTGCAAAAGATGAAACAGATGAAGAATATCTTTATGAAATGCAGGATATTATTGACCATCTACCTAAACTTCCTGAAATCCAACAACAAAAGCTTACTATTCCAGAATTCGATGAAATAGAAGTCAAAGCAACTGACTCAGTAGAAATAAAGAAGTTCATACGAAAGGTTAACTATGAGTTTCTTGGATTTCATTGCAACCACAAAGTCATGGACAAAGATTGCGATATGGTATATAAGAACATCTCTGACATATACAAATCTGGGGAGTTTAAGACCTACGACAACTTTGTTTCGTTAGTTGCTGAATGTGTATGGCAGATAAGAGATAAAGATAGAAGAGGTAAGATATGGAATGAACAGATAAAACCCGCAACTTTTGAGTTAAAGAGAGCAATTGACGCCTTAGTCATACTAGCAGGTAAGGTTTCAGAATATAACGCAAAAATGAACCCGCAATGTTCAAAATGTAAGGCAGCAATTAGGAAATATAACTACTCCGTCAAAGAGATAGAACGTATGAGAAACGACTATGCTGACTTAAAGAGGGAGGCAGAGAAACCAGCAGAAGATAAAATGGACATGTTGACATTTCTAAACAAAAACTATCCAACAGCTGACGATTTCCTTCTTTCAGATGTCAAGAAGAAATATAAAGAAACCTTCGGCATTGTTAAAACATTCGATGTACTGACAGAAGAAATAGAAGCTACGAAATTGTTTAGAATTTCACGAATTCACAATGTTTACCATGTAAAACGCTTATAAAATAACTGGGGTAGAAAAGAGGGTAGAAGACAGGTTAGATCTAACCTTCTACCCTAAATTATATTTTTGGGTCCTTTACGCTCATTACGAAGAAGTCTTGACAAAACATGTACGATGAAGTCTTGACAAAACATGTACGATGAAGTCTTGACAAAACATGTACGATGAAGTCTTGACAAAACATGTACGATGAAGTCTTGACAAAACATGTACGATGAAGTCTTGACAAAACATGTACGATGAAGTCTTGACAAAACATGTACGATGAAATCATGAAAATTCAAGAGGGTAGAAAAGAGGGTAGAGAACAGGTTAGATCTAACCTTCTACCCTAAAATATATTTTTATTGAATTCAGCACAAAAATCTGAGTAAAATGGCATAAGATTGCTACCCTCGAAAACAGTGAAGAACAGCGAGTACGTTAAAAAACTTAGTCGCCAAAACTCTATGAAATCATGAATTTCCTTAAGATAGAAAAAATAAAGTTAGTTTTTTATAAAATATTTTTTTATCCTGTATATAAGAAACAGATATGTCAACAACAGAGAACACAACAACAGTTATAGTCCATGAAGCTATAAATGAAGAATACGAGTACATACAGTATAACAAACAGTTACGTCTCATTCGTTCGGTCAAAGACGATATGTACCAAATGCAAAGTATTTTGACAGCATGTTTTGCACCAGATACTAAGAAACCACAAGACTGGTTTGAATTAGATAGCACTCATGAACTCCTCAGTGAGTTTGAACATGTAGAACTTAAAAAGATGTACCAAGACAGACAAAACTTACCATCACATCTAAAAGGTATATATGTTCATAAGTTCCTAGTTAGTTCAATAGCAATGTGGGCTTCACCTCGTTATGCAATCTACATACTTATGCTACTTGACGAACTTTGTACAAAGCAGAGAGAAGATATGATGAAAGAAGACAAAAGCATTCAGAAAAGAATACCACGTTCGGTACCAAAAGGAAAGGAAAAGAACTATAAGTATATGATTTATACTGAAGAGATGGAAAATGAAGAAGACAGAGATATGGTTATGTTGCATTTAGTCAGAAGAAACAACAAAAGCTTTTACGACCTTGCTAAGATTTACAAATCTGACAGAAATTGGTTCTATCGCGAAAACTTACCGATTTCAATGACACCGAATGAAGATGTGAAACAAATAGTTCAAGATACGTTACCTCAAACACACTATGATATTAAAGGTTGTACAATTCTTACATTCAAAGAAGACTTACCGCTACTGAAGGAAAAAATAACAGAGTATTTTGACAACTTCAAACAAGCAGAGTAGATGAACCATTTATTTTTCAAGCTTGACTTCAGATGGCTCAGGTAGCTCTAAAAGGTAAATTGTCTTGTCAAATCCTTCTGGCATTCCGAGTCCTTCCTTCCGACATTCCAAGTTCTTCCTTCCGACATTCCAAGTCCTTCCCGACAACTGGAAAAAAATTTCCCGACAACTGGAAAAAAAATTCCCGACAACAGGAAAAATTTTTCCTGTTGTTCGTCCGTAAACCATTCAAATTTTCGAAAATTGAGAACTTTTTGGTCGAACGACAGAAAAAATTTTTCCTTCAGACAGGAAAAAAATTTCCCGACAACTGGAAAAAAATTTCCCGACAACAGGAAAAGTTCTTCCATCCGACAGGACACAAACGAATGTCCGACGTTCCTCTTCCTGAATGTCTTCCAAAGCCAGAAGAACCGACAGCCCCAGCACCACAACAGACTTACTAAGACTAAACACTTAGATTTTTCAAGCTTGACTTTTTACAATTTGAACTTTGTTTGCGTAGATATGAATTCTGAAAGAAGTATGAGGGTCTTGTATGACTTTGTACTTCTCCCATAGTTCATGTCTGTCAAACTTACCTGCCATGGACTCTTTCATAAGTTCCATGAAATCGTCTTCGGACAATCCAGGGAAAAGTATAATGTCAGTAAGTATTCTCTTTACATCCTTACTTAAACTCTTTGCTGTCTGTACACAAATGACAACTGAGATGTTAAAGTGTCTGAGCTTCTTAAGAATTCGACACATATCTTGTTCTCTATTCTTTAACAAAGGATGAGAAGCAAAGTCATCTAAGATAAGAAGACATCTATGAGGGTATGTCTTCCAATCGTAAGATTGCAATTTCTTCGAAATGTATTCTATCTCTTTCTGTTTGTTTCTGAAGTGTTTCTTCTCTAATATTCTCTGCATTTCCTCATTTGGGTCTTTAAACTTCGAATTTATATACTCATTTATAGCATTGTACTTCAAAACTCTTCTTTGGTACTTCTTTATCCAATCTAACAACTCAGTATCCTTTATACATACTAACTTAGACTTCTTTATAATATCTTTGAACGAATTGACGGTTTGGTCAAATTGACCAGAAGTACTACAAATAACAACTAACTCATAGAATGGGTTCTTCTCATCTAGTTCTTGTTGTTGTGCAGCCATTTTAAGATAAGTGAAAGTCTTACCCGACCCAGGTGGTGCAATTAGACCTGTTATACCATTCTGAGCAAATAAGAACTTGTCATGTATAGGCTTTATCTGAGCATTTTCTAACTTCCTCTTGTTCTGTTTAAAACATTCTCAAATTTCTTGTCAATGTCAGCAAACTTTTTTTCTAACATATTTTTAGAAAAATTAAAATTTTTATCTTTTAGAAAATGTCTAGCGATTTCGCTATCTATATTCGAGACAAGCTTTTTGACAGCAAAACATCTGTCGACCATAAAATCTTACATAGTGTAAACAAGAAAGGTGAATTTGTTCTAAAGTTCTGTTTCTGGGAATATGACAAGAACCATAAAACATTAAGCAGAGCAGTCTTAAAATTTGTCAATGACAGACTTGTTGACAGAGATGACGCCGATTGGAAAGATGAAGTCCAACAAAAGTTCTTAGAATGCAAAGAAGACACATGCGCTGTTCTTGAAGATGAAATAGAAAACAGAATAGATGAGCTATTAAAGGACAAAGAACTTTTACAGAAATATGGTTCGGAGAAATTTGACATAACTCCACAGAGAAGAAGAAGAAGAGAGAAAGAAAAGAAAAGAAGAAAAAGAAAGTAGAAGAAGAGAAGAAAGAACCTGAACCAGTTCCAGAGAAAAAGAAATTTGACATGAAAATAAAATTTTATTTTAGAAATTTGCTGGTCAATGTCAATGTTCTCTTCCTCTTAGGGCAAACACTGGCTTAGACTCTAAAATCTTTTACCCAATTTACCTTGAACTTCAAACTATCTTAGACTCATAATATTCATAGTCGTCTGCTTCTTTGGTTCATAAGGTATAACAAGTTTGTATGCTTTTACCTTCTTCGAGTTTTGAGAACTTTCTGTCAAAATTTTCTTTGACTGTTAACAAACCTTCTATGTCTAAGTCTTCAAAAGTGTTGCACCACTTTTTCTAACAACAGCAAACTTAACTGGTGCAATGTTTCCAAATTTTGTCAAATGTAGACTTTTCAAATTGTAGAAGTAAACATTCAAATATGCGAATGGAGCTAACTTATCTTTGACTTCTGTCATGTACTTATTTACTGAGATGAATTCGTCATCTTTTCTATCGATAAAAAAATATTTTTTTTAAAATTTACTCATAAAAATTTTTCTTTGTATATACGGCCGTTCTGAACATCTAAAGACTTTTGACATTTGCCAAGAATGTACGTTTAGAAGCTGCCATATAACCATATTCTTGACAATATTGTTTATACGAATCGTACAATGACCTTTCATCTAATGACACAAAGTCAGTTTCATCTACGAACAGTTCATAAACACTCTTGTTTGCTTCTAACAATGTTTGTCTCTCTTCGGTATATGGAATTTGTCTTGGATTGAACTTAGAAATATCTAATGTCATGAAATATGAGACAAGTGGTTGTAAAAGTCAGATGTCAACATTCTGACAAAGCGTCAAAATATTCTGTATCTTGGCATACGAGAATCTGACGTTCTGACAACTACATATCTTCTGTCAGAACTTTTCTAACTTCATCGGAACAGCATTGTTTGAAACCATAATGAAGTTTGCAACATTTCACAAACTCTTTGGTCTTTATATTTTCTTTCAACAACTCCAACTTTATCTGTTATAAAGACTCTTCAAAGCATCTGAGTTCAAAACTTTTGTTGTATCTATACTTTGAAGTTCATTGCAACTATAAGTTTCATATTCTCAATTGAAGAGTTAAAACTTGCCACAGATGTTTTCTATGTTTGTCATATTCGGATTCGAATAACCTTCTAACAGTTTGCACAAAATATCTGTAAAGAATGTGTTCTTACCTGTTCCTTGTTTTCCAATTATAATGAGAGGCAGTTTCATTTTAGCACTTGGATGTTGTAAGATGTTTGCAAAACCAACATAAGATATACTCATAAACCTTTTCGTTTCCATTGCATATAATTTCTTTGACATGGTCTAACCAAGCTTCTATAATATATTCTTTCCATTCTACTTGTTCGTATTTATATCCAGTGAAGATAGAATAGAAGTTTGGAGAAGGTGTATAAAACTTTATACCACGAACTGAAAAATCTTCAACTTTGACAATAAGATATCCCAAGCATCTAACATCTTCATGCCAACTTGTACGACTTTTATTTTCTTAAGTTTCTGTCTACATTCTTGTTCAGACACTATTGTTGCTCTTGGTTTGTTAAAGACAACATCCCATTCTTTCATAACATAACATTCTGGGGCAGAGTCGACATAAATGACTAAACGTTTCAAATTCTCGACTGCTTTGTTATAGTCTCGAAATGGACACATATTTCTGAATGCTTGGAAGTCATAAAAATCTGAAACATCTATTCTGTACATTTTTATAAAAATAAAAAAAATATTTTTTTATTCTTGACTTTGTTGTTCCATTTGTTGCATTTGTTGTTCTTGAGCTATTTGTTGTTGAAGTTGTTCTTGTATACAATACTTTCACCAGTTGCATCTTCCAATTCGAAACTTTCTGCCGTCATTGACAAATACATAGGACATAAAAGTTTTACAGGAACAAAGTTTGCGTCAACTAAGGTTAAGTTTATTTGCTAAAGTGTTTGAGTTCACTAAAGCTGAAAACTCTGCATTCGAATGAACAATAGGCAAACCAGCAGAGAAAGTGTTGTTTATACGCATGAGTATCTTTTGGTCATAGTAGTTTCTGTCGACATTCGAATAGCACTTTGAACCTAAGTTTGAAACAATATATAAATAGGTGCTTAAATGTCAATGGAATAGACCTTGTATGACACCTTTTCCTGTTATAGGAAACTGTTGGTAGTAAAAACCAGATATAAGTTTTGTATTATAGCTCATATCGTTTATACTAAACTCAGTCGGACATCCAAACATAATGAAACCTGCTCTAGTTGCAGCACATGTTACATCCGTCCTTAAAGTATTAAATAAGTCAACAAAACCTGTTGGTGGTATATCTGAGTAAGTATCTTCAAAGGAGTATTTTTTACCATTCACAACAATAAAGTCTTCTGGTGTCAAAAGAGCAAAACAGGCTTTAGTCGTCATGTGTTTAAGGTAGTTTACAATATCGTCCTTGAGGACTTTGTAAGTTTGTTGTTATAGAATTATATGACTCAGGGTTTTTAGTCGTAATAGTATAAACCACTATGTCTTCTGCCATTTACTTAGCAATAAATTTTAATGAAATGTTGTGGTCGTCAAATATTTTTATAACGTCTGGGAAACTATATTTTAAGTTCAACGTTTCACCTCCTTTCATAACGTATATCTTGTCAATGACATTATATGAAACACCACAGCAACTAATGTCGGGTTCTATTTCTTTGATGTTTATATCGTCTGCCTCTGTCAAAAGTTTCAATAGTTCTTTCAAAACTTCATGAGGTGCAATGACATATGAGTTCACTTTTACAGGGTTGTGTTCGACCAAGTTTAACATTATACTAAAGCTTGACAAATCTTCTCCTGAGTTTTAAGTTTGTCTTTCAGTTGTTGGTAGTCGTTTCGAATATCTGCAACAGAACTTAAGTCTCTGCTAACTTCAGGATATGTTGGTTGTTCTTTTACAGGAACTATTGTTATACCATCTTCGTCTTCGTATGGTTTCCCCACTTCAACATCTCTTCTTTGACATTGACAACAACACTTTGACTGTTTGTTTGAGTTGGTGAATTTAACTTCACATCTGCCACCGCCATTAAACCTTTTGAAACACTTACGCTTCTATTTTTCGGAAATGACATTTTACTTAGAATAAAAAGATGGACGTATTCGAGTATCTCTTCGAATTGAAGCAAACAAAGTTTACACAAACAATACAAATACATTGACAGAATAGTTCTTTACACAAACAATGGAAAATGTTATAGAATAGCAGTCTTTGCTGAACCAAAATATTTTCATAAAGCAAAGAAAGTTGGTATAACTGAAATGGTGAAAGTTCTTGAGCAGACAAAAATATAACAACAAAACTTACAGATATTTCTAAAGGTAAGTTTATAATACAATATTATGTCAAAACTGGCGTACTGTCAATATTTGACGGAGAGAAGTCAGTTCAAGAACAACTTACTGACCTGCTGCCAAAATCTGCTCGATGGAAGCTGTCGTTATGCCAATCTGAGGAGCCCCAGCAGGTTTCATCGAACGAATCTTCAAAAGAGCATCTTCCGTGAAAAGTGCTATTGGTTTTGTAAACTTCTTTGCTCAATTCATCTGGACCGTCTCTGTCACCAGTATATTGTATTTGT